CAATGGAGGAGGCAAAAATGCTTGATAAGAAATGTACTCATTATCTTGCCCATGTAATTGTAACCCCTCTGTATGGTATTTTCACAATTAAAAAATATAAAATAAAATACCTAGGAAAAAAACTTAACCAAACAGGTCAAGGACCTCTTTTTTTTTGTTTTTTTTTTGGTACTGGGGATTGAACCCAGGACATTGCACTTGCTAGGCAAGTGCTTTGCCACTGAGCTACATCCCAGAGGTCAAAGACCTCTAATGATGAAAACTTTAAAAACTGCTGGGCGCCTGTGGCTCACACCTGTAATCCTAGCTATTCCGGAGGCTGAGATCTGAGGATTGTGGTTCAAAGCCAGCCTGGGAAGTAAAGTCCATGAGACTCTTATCTCCAATAAACCACTAAGAAAACCGAAGTGGCACTGTGGCTCAGGTGGTAGAGTGGTAGCCTTGAGCTGAAGAGGGACAGTGCCAAGGCCCAGAGTTCAAGCCCCACAACTGACAAAAAATAAAATAAATAGGAAATTAAAGCAGATATAGAAAGTGGGAAAAAAACCTCCCATGTTCCTGGATTGGAAGAATTAACACCGTGAAAATGGCAATCCTTTCAAAGCTATCTCAAATTCAATGCAATATGTATAAATATCACAGAACATTCTTTAATGAAATAGAAGAAGCAATCCAAAAATTCATATGGAACAATAGAAGGCCCCAAACAACAAAAACAATCCTCATCAGGAGGAACAGTGCTGGACAAATATCAATACCACTCTTCAAACTCTATTATAAAGCCTGTAGTTACAAAAACAGCTTGGTACTGGCACAGGAAGAGGCCTGAGGACCAATGGAATAGAACTGAAGACCCAGACATGATCCCACAGATGGAAGAAAGACAGCCTCTTCAAGACACATGGTACTAGCAGTAATGGCTATACACATGTAGAAAATTGAAGTTAGATTCTTATATATCACCCTGCACCAGAATCAGCTCCAAATGGATCAAAGAACTCAAGGGAAAGCAGAAACCCTGAAAATATTACAGGAATGGATAGGGGATATGCTAGGGCTCCTCAGCAAAGATCAAAACTTCCTAAATAAAGATCCAGAAACACACAAAAAAAAACCTCAAAGAAAGCCTTGGTAAATGGGATCACATCAAGTTGCAGTGCAAAGGACATAGCTAGCAAGATAAATAGAAAGCCCACAGACTGGGACAAGATCTTCACTATCTATACAACAGGCAAGGGTCTCATATCAAAAATATACCTAGAAGGGCTGGGAAAGTGGCTTAGTGGAAGAGCGCTTGCCTTGCATGCATGAGGCCCTGGGTTCGATTCCCCAGCACCACATAAGCAAAAAGAAAAAAAGCCGGAAGTGGCGCTGTGGCTCAAGTGGTAGAGCGCTAGCCTTGAGCTGAAGAGCTGAGGGACAGCGCCCAGGCCCAGAGTTCAGGCCCCACAATCAGACCCAAAAAAAATATATATATATATACCTAGAGCTCAAAAAAAAAATAATACCCCAATAACAAATGCAAAAAAAAACCCAACCACCCCCTTAATAAGGGGGCTAAGAATTAAAAAGAGACTTCTCTAGAGAGGAAATAAGAATGGCCAATAGACACAATAGTTCAACATCACTGGCCATAAAAGAAATGCAAATCAAAACAACATTGAGATTCCACCTCACCCCAGTTGGAATGGCCATTATCATTATTAGTATATGTCTAGGATAGTCTGGCAGAGAATCACAATAGCTCAATAGCTATGTACATATGACCATACAAAATGATGCTAATTGTAATGAACAAGACACGGAAAGAACAGGCCTTTTTTTTGGTTGTTAACTTTATTCTTACCAATGTACTGTATCTGCTTACTTCTTTTATTTTGGGGGGGGGGGTCCAGTCGTGGAGCCTGAACTCTGGGCCTGGGCACTGTCCCTCAGCTCTTCAACTCAAGGCTAGCGCTCTACCACTTGAGTCACAGTACCACTTCTGGCTTTTTTCCTTTTGCTTATGTGGTACTGAGGAATTGAACCCAGGGCCTCAGGCATGCAAGGCAAGTGCTCTGCCACTGAGCCACCTTCCCAGCCCTACTTCTTTTAATTTTATTTTGTTTTTCTTTTTCCATTGGTTATCCCTGGCAATCACTGTCTTTGATTCTGGTACTCTGAGTCTTATATATACATTTATCTAACTTGGGGAAGGAAAGGGGAATAACAAAATGCTGAAACAAGGACAAAGAATGAGTGGGGAAGGAAGGGATAATGGGAGAAAAACAAAGGAGTAGGTACCAATCTTCGACAAGAAATGTACTCACTTCCTTACTCATGTAACTGTAACCCCTCTGTACAGCATCTTTACAATAAAAGGAAGATATATAAAAAAAGAAAAATAAAAATTTTAAGTGTAATATAATTATAGCAAAATTGAAAAAAACACATACCAATACATACATATATTAGCAGTATAGTACATATAAACTAATTTTATATATTATACATATATAATTTTCAGACATTATTTGCCTTACAGTACTTTCCAAACTTGTAGTTAAAAGTAGTAATGTTGGCCAGGCGTCAGTGGCTCATGCCTGTAATCGCAGCTACTCATCAGGTCAAGATATGAGAATCTCGGTTCAAAGCCAACCTGGGCAAAGAAAGTCCATGAAACTCTTATCTACAATTAACCACCAGAAAACTGGAAGTGGCACTGTGGCTCAAGTGGTAGAGTGTTCACCTTGAGCTGAAGAGAGGGACAGTGACCAAGCCCAGAGTTCAAGCCCCATGACCGACCAAAAAAAAAAAAAGTAGCTATATTATTTCTGAGAGGATAAATCACAACAAAGATTACATACTTACTTCTGGCATCTGTTTTTTCAGATTCACTCAGACTTAAGTCATCCTTGGCATCAGTGCTTCCCTCAACACCATGCCTTATAAAAAATTTCATATCATTGTCATCAATTTCATTCAGATCATTGATATCATATTTCTGTAATCCCTCTAATAGCTTCACTGCTGCCAAATGAGCAAATCTGTAGAAAGGAATCAACAGTAAGCCAGATTCACCATCTTCTTCACATTAAAACTGCAGTTTACACTTAGGCAATTCCACTCTGTAGGTTCTTCCATCAACTCATCTCACAGCCAAGGAACAAATCTATCTGAAGGTCAGTATCAATGTGACATATGACATATATTTATTATATAGGAAACTCAGTTACTTGACACTAACTAGTATTTATATGAAAACTGATTCCCTAATTTTTACTGGTAAAATCCACTGGAAGCCAGGTGCCAGTGGCTCACATACATAATCCTAGTTACTCAGGAGATTGAAATCTGAGAATCAAGGTTCAAAGGTAGCCCAGGCAGACAAACCCTTGCAACTCGTTTTTTGGTGCCAGTCCTGGGACCTGAACTCAGGACCTGGGTGCTGTCCCTGAGTATTTTTGCTCAAGGCTAGCAGTCACTTGAGCCAGTAATCCTTTTCTGGCTTTTTGGTGGTTAACTGGAGATTAAGAATCTCACAGACTTTCCTGCTGGGGCTGGCTTTGAAGACATCCTCAGATATCTGCCTCCTAAGTAGATAGGATTACAGGAATAAGCCACTGGCACCTGGCTCGTTAAGATTCTCCAATTAGCAAAAAAACAAAACTGGAGACATCACTTAAGTGGAAGAGTGCTAGCTGCAATTTTTTAAAAATCTGAGCAAGATCTCAAAGCCTTGAATTCAAGTCCCAGTACTGGCATACACAAGCAAGTATGCACATTTGAATGCACACACACACACAATCCACTGGAAGTGGAGAGCCACTATCAAATGAATGTTGGTGTCCACCAAATAGCACTACTCACTTGATTTGAGGATCAGAACCACCCTACTTTATTCTGCATATTTACTGCCTTAGGTTGGCCCAGTTCAGATGATATATTTAGCTCTGGTTCCAGTTTTAGAGCCAACTATAGATCTAACCTCTATATTTTATTTTAATCTTTAATTGTACAAAGGAGTTGCCATTCATCAAAGTACTTACTATATGAATACAATGACTCTTAATCAATGTCACTCTTTTCATTATTCTCCCTATCCCTTCCCAAACCCACCCCCTTCTCTTAATTTTCACAATTTTATAGAATGTACATTGAATTTTAATCTTCATCCCTCACTCAACCCAAAGCATTTGGCAAGAGTTTGAAATTTAAGGAAAAAGTAATGGTTTGTCTAGTCCATATCTTCTATTCTCTTTGTTCTTTCTTTCTCATATCTCTGAACCTTCCAATAATAAATTCTTGGTTTAAGAGGTTTGTTGTTATGATTACATGAAACTTTTTTCAACAATTTTGCTATGTAGCATATTTAATACTGTCTTGGGACATAATTATAAACAAAAATATTTTCCTCATAACTATATAATCACACACTTAACACATCCTTATCTATTATATATATCTTATATCTATATTATTTATAATACATATATCGATTTATCTATTATATCTATTATAAATAAAGTAATAAAGGTTAGTTGCTTAGAGTGTTTACCTAGTATGCCTGAATTCCTGGGTTGCATTCCCAACACTGTGCAAACAAAATTCATTAAGAAACTTATGTAGCCTAGTTACTCAGGAGGCTGAGATCTGAGGATTGAGGTTCAAAGCCAGCCCAGGCTGGAAAGTCCATGAGGCTCTTATCTCCAATTAACCACCAGAAAACCAGAAGTGCATGGTGGCTCAAGTGGTAGAGCATCATCTTGAGCTGAAGAGCTCGGGGATAGCACCCAGAATTCAAGCCCCACACCAACAACAAAAAGAAACAAACAAACAAAACTTATGAAGAACATTATATAGTTGAGAAAGGAAGAGAACAAAGGAAGACATTGGATTATAGGTATCCAGCACATTTCTGCATCTTGAAATAAACACATCAGGCGTGAGGATATAGGGAGAAGTGGAATGGTATAGGAAGGCACTGGAGCCCATTTTTTACAGTAGACTGAAGAAACAGATGAAATCCATGAATATTAGACTTTAGATTTGGAAGGAAAAAAAGAACACTAATATTGGGCACTCCGCAACACAATGCCTAATGTTAAGCCAAAAAAAATGTCTCAGTGAGCTCCACAGGCACAAACATATGATAAAGACAAAAGATCTTGTCCACAGGACTGGAAACAAGACTGGAAAAGGGTTCTCTGCAATGCCTAGCTTGCTTACAGGTGCTGTGGTGAGTAATCATTTTAAAGTACAGTCTTACCATCAAATCTTATGGAGAGCAGGGATGGGATAGCATTTTTATATTTTCAAGTCCCAACTTCCTCTCCCCTTTACTAGCTAAAAAGCAAGAGTCAGTGTGGGTCTCCAAGATACTGGTTGTAACTTACATGTAGGCTCAAAGACTTGTAACTACATGGTAGCCATTGCAGGCTGAGGGGCAAAGGAGGTAAAGAGTACTTGCATTTGGAAATTCCATTTGGGAAGATGAGAGACCAGGTGTATGTGGATATATGCTGGGGCAGAAAAAGGTGTGGTTAAGATCACTTAATAGCCATACCTCATATCCTGCCCCCAGAATAGAGTGCTTTGATCCCTTCTCCACTCTCAGAGCTCCAGAGACATTTGGTAGAAATGGAGACACACTTGAAACCCTCAAAATGAGAAAGCTGGAGGAAAATCCACATAACTCTACCACCTCTCCTCAGCAAGAAAGAGCTATTGATTAGTCTGGTTTGTTGTTGTTTGGTTTGTATTTGCTTTGTTTTCTTCAATATTATTTCTCAAATCTACATGCCATATACTTTTCTTCTTTTTTCTATCTTGCTTTTCTCTTTTCCTTTCCCTATTCTCCCTCTTTTCTTTATCATTAAGACTTTATTATTCATTTTTACCTACCTACTCCAGGTACCAGTAGCTCATACCTATAATCCTAGCTACATGAGAGCCTGAGATGAGGACTGCAATTTGAAGCTAATCCAGCAGAAAAGTTCACAAAGACCCCTTCCCATATGAGAAATGTGTTGTAGCTCACTCCTATCATCCTAGCTATGTAGGAGGTTGAAACAGAGACTGAGGTTCCAGGTCAATCTATGAAGAAAAAAAGTCTGTGAAACTTCATATCAAGAGAAGTTGGAAGTAGTAACCAACTATGATGGGATGTGAGAAGTAGAATTATGGTCCAGGCATACATCCTACACCCCAGGAAGGAAGCAAAACCCTGTCTCAAAAATAACCAATGCAATGTTAAACTCAGAATGCAAGGAGATATGACAAAGTAAACAGGACTAAAGAAACAAAGGACCTCTTCTTAATTTGTTGTACCATTTCAAATAATTCCATGTTCTTGACCTCACATATGATATGTACATGTACACATCTGAGGAAAGCTAGGAGGAAGGCACAGAATCAGAGGAAAATAGGGGTGGGCGGGGCGGGGAGGATACAACAGAGGGGCCATCAGCTACATTGGACATTGATGAAAGTGAACTAAGCAACTCAAGGGCAGCAATGGGAGGGAGGAAATGAGAGAGAAAGAGAGAACAGCTTACACTAAGCAAAATGAAAGAAATGTACATATTACCTGATTTGGGAAAAACAGCTGTAGTGTCAAAGTTTGTAGTGTCCATAAGCTTTATAGACCATGATAATGTGTTTGTGACTTTAAGTATCACTATCCCACAATACTATGAAATTTGTGTAATTTATGTAATCACTTGATCTCAGTAAAAAAAATAAAAATAACCACTGCAAAAACAGGCTGTGGGTGTGGCTATGCAACAGAGTCCCTACTTGCCTAGCAGGTAGGAGGCTCTGAGTTCAAACTGCAGTACCACAAAAAAAGAGCAAATAATTCAATTTAAAAATGGGCTTACAGGGGCTGGGAAGGTGGCTCAGTGGTAGAGCACTTGCCTTGCATGCATGAGGCCCTGAGTTCGATTCCTCAGCACCACATAAGCAAAAAGAAAAAAAGCCGGAACTGGCGCTGTGGCTCAAGTGGTAGAGTGCTAGCCTTGAGCTGAATTGCTGAGGGACAGCGCCCAGGCCCAGAGTTCAGGCCCCACGACCGGACCCAAAAAAAAAAATTAAAATAAAAAAATGGGCTTACAAACTGAAATTGTTTCAAATTGTTACAACTGGACAATTAATACATGAAAAAGCTTCAAGAATTTTTGCCATCAGAAAAATACAAATCCAAACTACATTGAGATTCTATCTCATTCCAGTCAAAATGGATATTACATGACTCCTTAATGGCAGAAGACTGTTTTTCTCATCTTTGTATTCTGATTTCTAACCATGGTAACCTAAACCATAGTAACCCATGGTAAGTAGGCAGGAAGTTGAATGGAAGAACCATCAAATGGACAAATAAATGTGGATTAAATATTCTTTGAGAACCTGACCTCAATGGACTGGTGTTATTGGTTAACACGTGCTACATTAAATCCAAACGCAAATCCCTAAATATGTTTCAAAACTCTTGTGATTTTTTTTCTGTTATCACTATTGGGTTACTCTTTTTTATCTTCACAGAGCATTACATTTAATTTTGGTTGGAATAATTCATTATAAACCATTATTCTAATCACTGCAGAATGTTTAGCATTCCTGATCGTGACCTCCTTAAATATTATGTGGTCAATGTGACAATCTTTCCCTTCATTTTTAAATAATCCTTCCTAACAGTTGATAACTGCTGCTTTCTAGAGAAGAGCTGATACAAAACCAAATGTCAAATTCAGTTTTAAAATGGTGATTCCATCAGCACTAGATTAAGTCCTAAAATTCCACTAAAGTCTTGGAAATTTCTAAGTATATAAGAGCACATGCAGAACTTTAAAATCAAAAGAAAGGAGCAAAACATAAAGGAATCTATACCTCTTGGCCACATCACTGGGTCTCTCTCCTGCTTTGTTAGTAATATTACTGTCTGCTCCCATTTTAATTAGCCACTGCAAACACTCTATGTGGCCCTGTCCAGCAGCTGTTTAAAAAAAGGAAAACAGGAAATACAAAAAAGTGTTGTTACTAGTAACAATTTTATAAATTTTGGACAGCACTATTAAGTGAACTCTAATTGCAATGAAAACTACATGTGATAAAGCCCTGTTGAGTGTCATATAAACATAAAGTTTTATTACTAAATCCCCATGAACACTTCAATAATTTGATCCTTAGTAACTTTTGTCCCTCACATGTATTTTAATAATCAAATTTTTGCCATTAATTACAATTTGATTCATAGTTAGATTTAAATAGATTTAATAGATGTAAATCTTGGAAGTCATGCTGTGGCTCAAGTGGTAGAGCACTTGCCTTGAACTTAAGAGCTCAGGAACAGTGGCCAGGCCCAGAGTTCAAGCCCCATAACCGATTTAAAAAAAAGTCTAATAGACGTAGATCTCATTATGTCTCCATAGTGCAAGCAAGCACTATGGTGATGTTAAAAAAAATCACACATATGCCTGTAATAGCTACTCAAAGATGCTGAGAGCTGGGGATTGAGGTTTGACTCCAATCTGGACAAGAAAATCCATGAGACTCATATCTCAAAAAAAAAAAAAAAAAAAAGCTGGAAGTAGAGCTGTGACCCAAGTGGTAGCACTAGACTTGAACAAAAGCAGGTCAGGGATAGCACCTAAGCCCTGAATTTATTATGCCCAGGACTAGCAAAACAAAAAACACTAATTTGCAAAATATATCAAAAAAATTTAACTTAAACGGAGAGGAAGAAGTCACAATTTACTTTGAGGCCAGGAGAACACTCTTAATAAGCTCTATAGACAAAAAAAGTTTGAAACAATGTTATGAATTTGATGTCATAAAAGTGAGCTCACTTCTGCCACGCACCTGTGGCTTATTACACCTATAAACTTAGCTATTCAGGGGTTGGGATCTTAGGGTCATGGTTTGAAGCCAGCCCAGACAGGAAGGTCCACGAGACTCATATCTCCAATTAAACACACACACACACACACACACACACACACACACAAATGGAAATGGACCATGGAGCTATATAGATCAAGTGGTAGAGCACTAGCCTTCAGCAACAAATTTAGGCACAGCACCCATGCCCTAAATTCAAGCTCCAAGATGATACTAAATTAATTAATTAATTGATTAATTAAGTCAACTCACTTCCAATACTAATTGAGCCATATTCAATGACAAACCCAAAGCTACACTGGAAAATGTCTATAAAAACTCTTGTTTTGTCTTTCTCTGACTGACTTGACTCTATCTTCTCTCTCTCCCTTTCCTCCCATTCCTTTCCCTACCTTCACCTCGCTCCCTACTTAACTTCTCCCCCACCCTTCACTCATGTCATGTCTTGCTCACTTTTACTCCTCTGGTTCTCCTACTCAGAACCAACTAACAAATAAATAGCCCACTTTAAAACTTTCCTGACCTTAAATATTCATTACAAGTCATATTTATTACAAATATGTATTACAGAATTCTACATGAAGGGAAGAAGAGAACAGTGTCAGGTATCTTTAAAACTTACTCAGGGGCTGGGAAGGTGGCTCAGTGGTAGAGCACTTGCCTTGCATGCCTGAGGCTCTGGGTTTGATTCCTCAGCACCACATAAGCAAAAAGAAAAAAAGCCGGAAGTGGCGCTGTGGCTCAAGTGGTAGAGTGCTAGCCTTGAGCTGCAGAGTTGTGGGACAGTGCCCAGGCCCAAAGTTCAAGCCCCATGACAGGACCTCAAAAAAATAAAAATAAAAATAAATAAAATTTACTCAAATCTAATAATATTCATAGATATTTCTGTGAAAAATCATTTTTGTACAGAAGAGTTAAAGAAGAAAATTCTGAGATATGAGTCTCATGGAGTAGTGGTACTCACTAGACACCATGCTGAAAATGAACTATACAACTTATGGATGAAGATAGGAAGGAAAAGCAGGAAGTAAGGGAAGGAGGAACCATTATCTAAAAAGAAATATACTCATTACCTAGCTTTTCAACTCTAACTACTCTGTTTATCACCTTTATAATAACAAGAAAAAAGAAAATTGTTATAACTTTTTAAAAAATGATTTCAAAAAACAAATATTTTAGTATAAGCCAACCAGTCTTTTGCTATCTTGAGAAAAGGTCTTGCTCTGCAGTCAGAGCTGATTTTGAGCTCATAATCTTCCTGGGCTTAGATTCTTAAATGCTGGGATTACAGACTTGTACCACTATACCCAGCTAATACATCATCTAAAAAATGTTTCCCATCCGGGCAGTGGTGGATCACGCCTGTAATCCTAGCTACTCAGAAGGCTGAGATATGATGATTGTGGTTCAAAGCCAGCCCAGGCAGGAAAGTCCATGAGACTCTTATCTCCAATTAACCACCAGGAAAAACCAACAAAAAAAAATTTCTACAAGGGGGGGCTGGGAAGGTGGCTCAGTTGTAGAGCACTTGCCTTGCATGCCTGAGGCCCTGGGTTCAATTCCTCAGCACCACATAAGCAAAAAGAAAAAAAAGCCAGAAGTGGCACTGTGGCTCAAGTAGTAGAGCACTAGCCTAGAGCTGAAGAGCTGAGGGACAGGGCCCAGGCCCAGAGTTCAGGCCCCATGACTAGACCCCCCCCCAAAAAAACAAAAAAAATTTCTACAAGGACATTTTTACATCTTCCCTAACATAACAATGACACAAAAGAAATCTTACTGACATTACTTCAAATGTGACCATCAGTGTGTAGCTGGCTAGCATCACAAAAGGCATGTGACAATGAACTGGAATTAGTCATCAGTTTACCATGTAATGTAGACTGATATCCACTAGGGCATGTTTTTGATGAAATAGTTACTTTAAAAGTAAATTCCACTGGGCCCTGGTGGCTTACGCCTGTAACCCTAGTTACTCAGGAGGCTGGGATCTGAGGACTGTGGTTCAATCAAGGTCAGCCCAGGCAGGAAAGTCCATGAGACCCTTATCTACAATAAACCACCAGAAAAAAGTGGTGCTGTGGCTCAAGTGGTAGAATGCTAGCCTTGAGCTGAAGAGCTGAGGGATAGCGCCCAAGCCCAGAGTTCAATCCCCATGACCGACAAAAAAAAAAAAAAAGTGAATTCAGCAGCTACTGTATCTGAACTCAAAATCAATTAAGACTACAATAACTCACCTTTATGCATTGGAGTTGATCCATTATCATCACGCTCATTAAAATTGATCACTCCATCTTCTAGTAATTTCTTCAGCATTGCTAAATCACCCTTAAAGGCAGCCATATGACCTGGAAATGCTAAACCTATGAATCAAAATATTCACTATTTCAGCAAACACAGAAAGAATATGGAAGAGGGTAAACCTCTAACAAACAGATTTACTCTTTAATCTGGGCTCCCAATACAAGAAATAAACTTCTATATCTTTTAAGCCATTTGTTACAACAGCTTAGACTTGCTAATAAATACAAATAAACAATGCTATATGTTATTGTGAATATGTCTATATACTATGTATATACATAGTATATATTTTTAAATAGCATAATATATATGTGTGTATACATATATCTAAGATATAAACATAGGATGAACTAATAAATCCAAGGTAAATGATAATTTATCTTGAGGATGAAGAAAAAGAAAAGAAATAGGCAACTTCAACTTCAAAATATTTTATTCTCGGTGGCTCAGTGGTACAGCGCTTGCCTTGCATGCCTGAGGCCCTGGGTTCGATTCCTCAGCACCACATAAGCAAAAAGAAAAAAGCCGGAAGTGGCGCTGTGTCTCAAGTGGTAGAGCACTAGCCTTGAGCTGAAGAGCTGAGGGACACTGCCCAGGCCCAGAGTTCTGGCCCCACGACCGGACCCAAAAAAAAAAATTTTTTTTATTCTTTTGTGATACAAACAGCACTCTTTAGTTAATATTTATATACATTTGTCTAGAATGTTCGTAATAAAATTTGGATTAATGTGTGGATAATAATATATAATAAATGTCAATGTAATATCTGCCTTATAAGTTGCCTTATAGTACATAGATTCTACTCATTTGTATTATTATTATTATCACATTTCAGGCTAATTACTTACTTTCCTGATCTTCTGCATTATTTCCTTCATTCTCAGTCCCCTGGATAAACTGTACAATGTTCTGTTTAAAGAATCTCTGGGCCAGGTCCAATACATTTTCTCCATTATCATTGAAGGCTTTTAAAGCTTGTTTCTCACTGCTCATTCTACTGACTAGGAATTTAAAACAGTGAAGGTGGCCTTCCATGGCTGCTAGGTGAACTATAGGTAAAAGGCAAAAGAAAAATTTAATTTTAAAATTGTAATTTAAATAACTTGAAAAAACAAACAATACATTAGCTATAATTCTTATCCTTGCCCCTATGAAAGGGACTTTTCCCCAAAGGAGAACTGTGCATTCTCTCTGCCACCATGTCTTAGATAGCCATCTTCTAGAGATATGAGAACACTAAACTACATGGATGAATGGGTGTACTTACCATGAGTATAGAGAGATCTTTTGCAAAGGACAATGGAATTCACACCGGACCAAAAATGAAAATTCGAGTTGTTACATTAAGTTTAGATAGTGATAGAAAAACTACTATTTAGTTTAAGTTGAAACGGTATAAGGCCTCACGCCAATGACTCACACCCATAATCCTAGCCACTCAGGAGGCTGAGAGAAGAGGATTGCAGTTCAAAGCCGGCCCAGGCAGGAATGTCTGTGAGACTCTTATCTCCAACAAGCCACCAGAAAACTGGAAGTAGCACTGTGGCTAAGTGGTAGAGTGCTTTCCTTGAGGTGAAGAGTTGTGGGACAGTGCCCAGGCCCAAAGTTCAAGCCCCATGACAGGACCTCAAAAAAATAAAAATAAAAATAAATAAAATTTACTCAAATCTATGCCTTGCATGCATGAGGCCCTGGGTTTGATTCCTAAGCACCACATAAGCAAAAAGAAAAAAGCCGGAAGTGGCGCTGTGGCTCAAGTGGTAGAGCACTAGCCTTGAGCTGAAGAGCTGAGGGACAGCGCCCAGGCCCAGAATTCAGGCCCCACGACCGGACCCAAAAAAAAAAAATTTAAAATTCACTATCTGGGATGTTTGTGGAAAACACCATTGTGGAAACACTATTACATTAATACCCAAGCTGTTATATTTGTGTTGACAGCAGTCATAGAGACAGAATTAGTGAATCACACAGTGAAATTGCAAAATTGCTAAAGGAAAAAGAACTATGGGATGCTGTGCTCCTGATTTTTGCTTGCATTTCCAAGGGAAGGTCTTTGTCCATGCCTTTGCACAGGTTTAGAACCTGTGTTGGGCCAACTCTGATGCTATTCCTGAAGCAAAAAAAAAAATCCCTTAAGGAAACAGAGCAAGTGAGGAAATTATTGACAGCTGAGGAGTACAAAGGATGGGCAAAGAAATCTAAGAAATTCTCATTGAAATAATGCAACTCATGAACAAGCCCTCCAGCAGCCATTTTGAAGGACAAGGATGAATAGACCCTACCCCTGGATCCTTGCCCTGAAATGGGATGATGGGAGCACACAGAGCACAAGACAGGAAGAGGGATTGAGGACAGAAATGAGTAAGATACACACTGAACTCAAGGCACAGATCTCTGAACATAATTTTTTAAGTTATTTCTAAGACTTTGAAGGACTAATGAAATAAGAACAACATGAACAAACAAGAAATTTAAAGAATTCTAAAAGTTAGCTGGGCGTGGTAGCTCATGCCTGTAATCCTAGCTACTCAGGAGACTGAGATCTGAAGATTACAATTCAAAGCCAGCCCATACAGGAAAGGCCATGAGACTCTTACCTCCAATAATTCACTCAGAAAACGGGGAAGTGGTAGAAGTGGTGCTGTGGCTCAAGTGGTAGAGCACTTGCCTTGAGCTGAAGAGCTCAGGTACAGCGCCCAGGCCCAGAGTTCAAGCCCCATGACTGACAAAAAAAGAAAAAAAAAAGAATTCTAAAAGCATATTGGCTCAGACTGAGTAATCCAAACCTTTTACAACAAAAAGTTGTTATGAAGCAACAATTTCAAAAACTAATGAAGGGCCTGCGAATGTGGCTTAGTGGTAGGGTGCTTACCTACTATGCATGAAGCCCTGGGTTCAATTCCTCAGTACCACATACACAGAAAAAGCCGGATGTGGCACTGTAGGTCAAGTGGTAGAGTGCTAGCCTTGAGCAAAACAAGCTCAGCGACAATGCCCAAGCCCTAAGTTCAAGCCCCAGGACTGGCAAAAACAAAAACAAAAAACCCCACTAATGAAGTCTTTACCCCTCTTATTTCTTTGGAATAAGCCCAATGTACATGTAAACACTGACTGTGGAGAAGCAAGGCAGTGCTCAAGCAGCCAGAATAAATCAAGAGAAAGAAGTCCTAGTGCGAGGAGCTGAGCTGCTGTCAAAGATCACACAATCATGGATCATCTGTCCTAACCCAACTAAAAGCCATCTGCCAAAACTGCAGGACACACTGCTTATCCACTATGTGTGTTTGTATGTGTCTCCAGATTTCTAACTTAGCACATCAAAAAAAAATTCCTCATCCTCCTCACACACATTTTCCTTACACAGTATTCTGTATCTTAGTGGAAACTTTTTCTAATCCATGTTTTCAAGAAAAAAAACCTTGGGGACATTCTTGACATACTTTCTGCCACTCCTCCCATCTAATATACTAGCAAATCCATCAATTCTTTCAAATTATACATAAAAACCCAATTATTTTACTTACTCTGCTGCCTGAATACTATATCCCATTAGTTCAACCCAAAAAACAGGATGAATCAGGCTCCTAACTCCACCCCCTATTTATTCACTTACTGTACTGGGGATTGAACCCAGGGACTTGTATATGCTAGCCAATGCCGTGTAGCCAACACTGGCCTCAAATTCACAATCCTCTCACTGCAGCCTCCAACAAAGTAGCTGGGATGACAGACATGCACTATCACATACAACTATACACACCACACCATACCACACCACCACACCACACCTGGCTGCTCTTCCTACTTACTGTATTGCCACCCTTCTCACCCCAACAACATATATCCTCACTGCAGTGGACTATAAACATGGTAGTCAAAATGATTGTCTTAAACATAATTATAGTCAAAATCCTTCAACAGTTTCTATTTCTGCCAAAATCTTTCAACAGCTTCTATTTCCTCCTACGCTTCACCCTCCCACTTCTATTCCAACCACACTCACACACACTAGGTACATTCCTGCCATTACTTCTTTCTGAAGTGTTTTTCTCCCATGACATCTATGAGCCTCCTTGATCTCCTTCAGTTCTTTACCCTTTGCTACATTACACTATCCAGATATACAGATATCCCTGTGGGGTATTAAATATACTTGGCTCACTCACTTTCATGACTACCTATCTCTTTTCTTACCACATGAAAGCAAGGATGGTAGGAGCTCAATAAAGTATGTTACATTACTAATTTTTTAAAGAGACTTGAATATAAGTGGTTTAGGACCAAGGCTATATGCTGAACCTTTGCATTATAGTACTGTAAAGTTGTTTTTTTGTTTGTTTGTTTGTTATTTGTTTTTTCTGGTCAGTCATGGGCCTTGAACTCTAGTCCTGAGCGCTGTCCCTCAACTCTTCAGCTCAAGACTAACACTCTACCACTTAAGCCATAGCACCACTTCCGGTTTTCTGAGTGATTTATTGGCAATAAGAGTCTCACAGCCTTTCTTGCACGGGCTGGCTTTGAACCATGATCCTCAGATCTCAGCCTCCTAACTAGCTAGGATTACAGGTGTGAGCCACCAGTGCCCGGCTCTATTTATGGTTTTAAAGTAATTATGTATGTTTAGAGAAACAAAGACCAAAAAAAATGGCCAGGAATATCTGAATGAAACTAACTTCTTGTATTACACAAAGAAAAAGTTCTAGGTAAGCTACAGATTTAAATGTAATACTAAAGTATTAAATAAAAGATAATATAGTACATTATAAGTACATGAAAAAGAACAGCAACAAATTTTTTTTGTTTCTTTGTATGTTTTTCCCCCATGGTACAACCCCTGTTTTTACTGTATTTGATTCTGGTGTCCCCCATCTTGTACATACATTTTTCTAATTTGGGGAGAGGAAGGAAAATAACAAAAATAAGGATACAGGATGACCCATTGTAACAATGAGATGTACAAGACAATACATTGAAAACGAACTTTACAACTTTGCAGGGTGGGAGTAGGTAGGGGACGGGTGGGGGGCTGGGAAAGTGGGGAGGAAAGGGTGGTAGGGGAAAAATAAAGGAGGGAGTAACAATGCTCGAGAGGTAATGGACTCATTACCTTGCTTATGTAACTGTAACCCCTCTGTACAGTATTGTTACAATAAAATATATATATTAAGAACAAAAAAAGATACTATAAAGGAATGTCTCCATGATCACAGAAGATTTTTTTGAACAGGATATAAAAAGCACTAGTCATAAAGGAAGATATCTTAAAAGAAAAATTAAAGAGCAATCATTGGATACAGAAGATATCCCATATGCTAGCAAATGGTTTACATATACACTATGTGAAAAATTTTCACAACTCATTGAGAAAAAGACAACACCCGAGAGAAATTAGGCAAGAAATCTGAACTAGGACCTCACAAAAAATAATCAAGTAGCTATTAAACAAATGAAATTATGTTGAATATATTTAGTAGAGAATTAAAATCACAAAGAAATATCACTATACATCCATCAGAATACAACTTCAAAAAAAACCTACTAATGCCTAGTGTTAATGAGAAAATGAAACAAAAGAAACATTTTGGGTTTTTGTGTTGTTTTGTTTTTGAGACAGAGTCTCAGTGGGTAGTTCGGGCTATCCTGAACTTATGACATTCTTGCCTCTGTAGGCATCTGATGCCACACCCAGCTGCAAGTCAAAATCTTCAATACAGCTGGTGATTATAAAAATTGGGACCATCAGTTTGGAAAAGCAAAATAAACCACACACAAGAATATCAGTGTATTATTTTATCCCATAGAATTTTTTTAAAAATTAATTTATATATTAAATAATTTTACATATTAATTATATATTATAGATATAGATATTAGCCATGTCAAGAAGTAACAGGAAGGGGACAAGAGGGAAACTTCTGGGCACTAGAAATGATCTATTCTTGATCTGAATAAGGAGCACAGAGAAGTGTTCATTTGTGAAAATTCAATGCAATACATATTTGGACATTTTTCAAAATCCATAATTATATTTTAATTTAATTCTGTTTAGAAATATACCTCGGGCTGGGAAGGTGGCTCAGTGGTAGAGCACTTGCCTTGCATGCTCAAGGCCCTGAGTTCGATTCCTCAGCACCACATAAGCAAAAAGAAAAAAGCCGGAAGTGGCGCTGTGGCTCAAGTGGTAGAGCACTAGCCTTGAGCTGAAGAGCTGAGGGACAGTGCCCAGGCCCAGAGTTCAGACCCCACAACTGGACCAAAAAAAAATTAAAAAAAAAAAAAAGAAATATACCTCAGTGTTAGCATGCATGAGCTGTGGGCTCAATCCCCCAGCACAAAAAAATAAAAATACCAGGCTGGGAAGGTGTCTAACTGGTAGAGCGCTTGCCTTGCATGCATGAGGCCCTGGGATCAATTCCTCAGCACCACATAAGCAAAAAGAAAAAAGCCAGAAGTGGCGCTGTGGCTCAAATGGTAGCGCTAGCCTTGAGCTGAAGAGCTGAGGGACAGCACCCAGGCCCAGAGTTCAGGTCCCATGACCGGACCCAAAAATAAATAAATAAATAAATAAATAAAATAAATAAAAATACCCATGTAACTGTAACCCCTCTGTACGGTATTTTCACAATAAAAATAAAAATACTTTAACTGAACAAAATAGAAAGTTTAAAGAATGAAAGCAAAATAAAATACCTTTCAGATAAAACAAGGAGAGTCTATACCAACAAATGTTCACAAAATAGACACCAAAGGTATACTTCAAAATGAAGTACTACAATGCCAAACAACAGTAAAAATGTATAGATGAAGGAAGGAGAAAAGAAGAGGTTCAGAATGCCAAACTAAGGAGTGAATGCTCTACAGAAACCCAGAGACATCTAAAAATAGCAAAGTGATTTCATCAGACCTGTTCATATTATTCTGCCTAGCTTACTCTTCATGTGCATACTTAAGATTCTAAGATATAATTCAAGTATTATTTTTACTCTGACTCACTGAGAACTATTCCTCCTCTGAATTTCTACACTGTTCCTTAAAGAAGAGGTGCTGTTCAGAGTCTAGTTCTCAATTAGATTATTTCAGGTTAGACATTCGCAGTAGGAAATTAACTATTATTTAACTATTATCAATAGTGTTTAAAATTTTAGTTACTTACTCCTATGATCCTAGCTACTCAGAAGCCTAAGATCTAAGAATCATGATTCAAAGCCAACAGACAAATCTGTGAAATTCTTTTTTTTTTTATTTTTTTTGGGGGGTCCTGTTGTGGGGCCTGAACTCTGGGCCTGGGCGCTGTCCCTCAGCTGTTCAGCTCAAGGCTAGCGCTCTACCACTTGAGCCACAGCGCCATTTCCAGCTTTTTTCTTTTTTTACTTATGTGGTGCTGAGTAATGGAACCCAGGGCCTCAGGCATGCAAGGCAAGCACTCTACCACTGAGCCACCTTTCCAGCCCCAAATCTGTGAGATTCTTATCTTCAATTAACTAGCAAAAAGCAAGAACTGGAGATATGGCTCAAGTGGTTTTCCCTCACCAGCTGTTCACTTAAAAAGCTGAGCAAGAGTGCAAGAAAGTCCCTGAGCTTGAACTCCAGCACTGGCAGAAAAAAAAGAAGAAAAAAAGTGGGGCAGGCTGGTCACCAGTAGCTCATGCCTATAATCCTAGCTATTTAGGAGGCTGAGATTTGGGGATTGCAGTTCAAAATCAGCAAGGGAAGAAAAATACATGAGACTTCAATTTCCAGTTAAGTACCAAAAAGCCAAATGGAACTGTGGTTCAAGTGGTAGAGTACCAGCCTAGAGCAAAAATCACTCAGGGATAGCTTTCAGGCCCTCAGTTCAAGCCCCAGGATAGGCATTAAAAGAAAAACAACGTGGCATTGAAAGTGGCATTGTGGCTCTAGTGGTAGAGCACTATCCTTGAGCACAAAGAGGCTCAGAGACAGTACTCAGGCCCTGAGTTCAAACCCTACAATTGACAAAAGAAAAAAGAAAAATTTGGCAAAGTGGTAAGAAGTTACAAAATAAAACTACAGTTGCTTGTGTAACTCAGTGATGAGACACAGCATATGACTGGCATGTGGAAGGCCCCCAATATAATTCCCAATACCACAAAAAAAAAGCTGAAAGTAAGAAAACACTTGAACAGTAGATGAAGGAGAAGGCTAGCAGAAAGACCAAATGTATACTTAAATTTGCCAGTTTCTCTTCTGCTTATATAGTTCCAGAAAAAAATTAGTCATATATATGCATGACATAAGATAAAAATGTTCTGAGTGTAAAATGGGGACTATTTGCAGAACTACTTAGAGGCAAAAGGAGAGGGTGATAAAGATGAATATGAATGGGGTTATTTTATTATAAAATGATGAAACCCATTGAAATTACAAAAATGTAACAGGGTCATGAGGGGTAAGAAAGAGAAACAGAAGGGTGAGTATGGCTTAAATATATTATTCACGTGTATGGAAAATAACAATGAAATCACTCTATGTAACTAAAATATACTAATAAGAAAAAGTACATGCCAACATACATACTATTGTAATTTTGCAAGCAATTGAAGAATGAGGATAGTTTACATTTCTCTTTTTGTGCTGGTCATTGGGCTTGAATGCACAGCCTACATGCTGTCCTTAGCCTTCTTTTATTCAAGGCTAGCACTCTACCACTTGAGCCACAGTGCCCCCTTCACCACTTGCAGCTTTCTCTGTGATTAATTGGAGGTAAGAGTCTCATGGCCTTTCTTGCCTAGGCTGGCTTCAAAACACAATCTTCAAATCTTAGCTTCCTGAGTAGCTAGGATTACAGGCGTGAGCCTCTGGCACCCAGCACATTTCTTAAATACTATCAGGCAATTAAAGTTTGTATTAATGAAAGACTGAAATGTCCGCTTTTGTAGCATACCCGGGAGGTTCCCATTGCAGTCTACCTCTTCTATGCCACATCCCCACTTGACAAGAAGTTGCAAACAGCCAAGCCGACCGTGAAAGGCTGCATAGTGTACAGGTCTCCATTCTCTCTTGTCAGTCACACTGGGATCCTAAAGGTAACATTCACAAGTACTCAGATTTTATTTTGGAGGGAAAATATTACATCTAACAGTTTCATTCTGCAAAAAAAAAAAAAAGCTGTTCTTAAAATTATAAGGCAAACACTAAGTTGAACAGAACATGTTACTGCAACCATGGATTTGAACACATGAGCAAAGAAAATATTAGTTTAAGTTTTATAAAATAACCTTTAAAAAGAACACAACTGGTCAGGTGTTGATGTTTCACACTTACAATCCTAGTTACTCAGGAGATCTGAGAATTATGGTTCAAAGTCCAAGAGACTTTTATCTCCAATTAACCAAAAAAAAAAGCTAAAAGTGGAGGAATGGCTCAAGTGGTAGAGCACTAGCCCTGAGCAAAAAAAGATACAGGAGAATTTGAGGCCCTGAGTTCAAGGCCCAGTACCAGAAAAACAAAAGAACACAACTAATTATACAAAATAGTTCTTAAAAAGTAAATAACCATCCATTTTACTAGTCAGAGATTCTTGATCAATAAAACTGATACATTAAAATGACAAAATTATATCACTGAGAGCATAACATAAAAAATATTTAATATGCTTTTCAATTCAACTATAAAACAAAAGCTGTTGTCTTTAATATACATAGATTTTTTAATAAGAACTTATTTTTTGCCTCCACTAGGTAATATTAAAGATTTTTCAATCAATAAATGAAATTTCTGGAAAACAAGTCACTTTCTAAATGAGTATATAAGAGTTTCAAAAGAAACACAGACACACAGAAACTGATAATGATTTTTTTTTTTTTTTTGCCGGTCACGGGGCCTGAACTCTGGACCTAGGTGCTCAGCTCTTCAGCTCAAAGCTACCACCCCACTACTGCTTGAGCCACAGCACTTCCAGCTTTTTCTGCTTATGTGCTGCTGAGGAATTGAACCCAGGGCCTCATGCATGCAAGGCAAGCACTCTACCACTAAGCCACCTTCCCAGCTCCACTCATAAAGATTTATAATCACCTGACTATGATTTTTTAAGAGCTATCTCCTTGGTTAAAATTCAAACTGACACTTACATACATACATACACACTCATACACACACACACACACACACACACACACACACACAAATACATAGCCTCTGAAATACTCTGCACTACTAAAGATACTTGTCTAAATTATTAATTTCCAGAAGTTTTTTTAAATTGTACTGTTTGCAATTATTACTTTTTTTCTTTTTTTTCTTTGGTTTGTTCCTTGTTGTCACTGTTTTTTATTTCTGTACCCTCTGTCATATATATATAAGTTTATCTGATTTGGGGAAGGGAAGGAGAATTATAAAAACAGTGGGACAAAGGGTGAACCAATGCAACAGTGATACTCACTAGATACTATGTTGGAAATGAACTTAGGGTAGGGGGGAGAGAGAGAAAACAAGGGAGGGGTAACACTGTTGTAAAAGAAATGTACTCATTACCTTACTTATGTAACCGTAACCCCTCTAAACATCACCTTTACAATAATTTTTTAAATAAATTATTGCTTCCATGCTTAAAGGCCAAAAGCTAAAGGGAACAACTAAATTACTTCTCCAAGTCAAAGAAGGAATTTAAATAGTCAGGAAAAAATGATCAGACCACCAAGCAGTATTCCATCTATATGATTGGATAATTTCATATAGAAATAGGATTCCTCACCACTCCACTTCGGAGCATTATTTGCAAAGTGAAGGAATGTCCATGGGTTGCAGCAAGGTGCACAGGAGTGCACCCACGATCATCTCGAGCTGCCAGATTTGCTCCATTGATGATAAGAGCCTAAAATTGGAGAGATGAGTTTAATGAATACAGATGTTAAATTATAAATGCAAATACAGATTGAAGGCAAGCAATTTATTAACCTATAAAAAAATTACTATTTCATTACATATGTGTTATATAGGCAAACTGTGAGACATTCCTAACATTGCCTAAGAGATACAATCCTGACTTTACATGCAGGTGTGAGCATGTGCATACAATTTATAAGGCATAGTTCTTAAGCACAGATAATAAAAATATAAAGTTTTACTGTTTAAAAGGTATATTCTTTCATAAACTGGGCTTTGAAGTCAATAAAATGATTTAATTATTAAAAATTAACTAGTTCTCAGCTCCAGATCAAGTATCTAAACAAGTTTAATCTTAAGTTTCAATTCAGTTTCTATATATGGGTTATGTAATACACAGCACACCACTTTAAAATACAGAGTAACTAGTTTAAAAGAATTATAACTTGGACAGAGAAACTATGGCAATAATACAGTGAAAAAGGTTTTCCTTTCAACAAATGTTGCTGGAACAACCAGACATTCACATGTGCCAACGATGAATGTAAACACAGATGTTACATCCTTTCAAAAAGTTTTCTCAAAATGGATCACACACAAAATGAAAAACTATAAAACTCCTAGAAGATAGTATAAGAGCATAGGTTATAACTTTTGAAATACAACACCGAAGGCACAATTAAAGAAAGAAAGAATTGACAAACTGAACACCATTAAAATTTAAAAAACTGCTGCTCTACAAAGACACTGGCAAGAGAATAAAAAGACATCTCTGGATTTGTCACAATGGAAACAACATACCACTCTTGGACTATTTATGTATAACAAAAAGAGGGGGGGAAAGATGCATGTTAACTTCTACTGACTGTGGTATTAAGGATTATTTGTATTTTAATAAAGTAATAAAAGTTTGGTAATGCCTTAGGTTTAAAAATTGGGGCAGGGAAGTGGCGCTGTGGCTCAAGTGGTAGAGCGCTCGCCTTGAGCTGAAGAGTGCAGGGACAGTGCCCAGGCCCAGAGTTCAAGCCCCACGACCGACCAAAAAAAACAAAAACAAAAACAAAAAAAATTGGGGCAGGAGTGAGGGAAGGAGTGACACTGTCCAAAAAGAAATATACTCTTTATGGGATTTATATAACTGTAATCCTTCCCTCTGTATATAACTTTTATAATAAAAATGAATAAATAAGCCAAGAGCTGGCAGCTCACGCCTGTAATCCTAGCTACTCAGGAGGCTGAGATCTGAGGATCAAGGTTCAAAGCCAGCCTGGGCAAGAAAGTCCATGAGACTTTTTTTTCTTTTTGTCAGTCATGGGGCTTGAACTCTGGGCTTGAGGGCTATCCCTCAGCTCTTCAACTCAAGGCAAGCACTCTACCGCTTGAGCCACAGCACTACTTCTGGTTTTCTAGTGGTTTATTGGAGATAAGAGTCTCACAGACTTTCCTGCCCGGGCTGGCTTTGAACAGTGATCCTCAGAGCTCAGACTCCTGAGTAGCTAGGATTACAGGTGTGAGCCACCGGCACCTGGCTCCAGGAGACTCTTATCTCCAATAAATCACCAGAAAACAGGAAGTGGCAATGTGGCTCAAGTGGTAGAGTGGCTGCCTTGAGCTGAAGAGTTCAGGGACAGCTAGAGTTCAAGCCCTGGACCAACAAAACAAACAAACAAATAACAGTGGGGCAGGGGAAGAGGTGTGATGATACATGCATGTAATCTTCACTACACAGGAGGTATAGGCAAGAAGTCCCAGGCTTGTGTCAGGCAAAAAGTGTGAAACCTTATCTGAAAAATAAAAGCAAAAATGGCTTGGGATGTAGCTCAGTGCTTGCTTAACATGAAGGATACCTTGTGTTCAATAAAAGACAGAGACAGAGACAAACAGAGACAGACAGAGAAAGAGAGAGAGAGGAGCCAGACACCTTACCAAAGAAGATATATGTGTGGCACACAGGATATGAAAAAATGCTCCATATATCAAATATGATCAGGGAAACTCAAATTAAGATACCACTACCTACTTATTAGAAAAACCAAAATTATTAACACCAAAAATGTCAAATGCTGGCAGAAATGAGGAACAACAAGTACTCTCATTTGTTGCAAGTTAGGAGCTAGCTTAAAAAAATGGTACTATTTTGGTTAAAAAGAAAATGCAGTTTCTTTTTTTTTTTGGTCTGGTTGTGGGCCTGAGCACTGTCCCTCAGCCCTTCAGCTCCAGGCTAGTGCTCTACCACTTGAGCCACAGCACCACTTCTGGCTTTTTTCTTTTTGCTTATGTGGTGCTGAGGAATTGAACCCAGAGCCTCAGGCATGCAAGGCAAGCGCTCTACCACTGAGCCAACTTCCCAGCCCGAAAATGCAGTTTCTTAAAAAAACTAAATATAGCCAGATATTGCTGGCTCAACCAGGAAAAAGCTTCTTCCTTCCACCATATCCTAAGTGTCTGCTTAGAGTGCCCAACTATCCTGGAAACAAAGATAAAAGGCAATTTTCTTTCTCCTCAAGGAAGCCATGCTTTTGAGGAGATAAGCAAAGAAAATTATTTCTGAACAAGAAATACACATTAGGATCCATGTTGGTGGCGCACACCTGCAATCCTAGTTACTCAGGAGGCTAAGACCTGAGGATCCATAGTTCACAGCCAGCTTGGGAAGACAAATCTGAGAAATTATCTCCAACTAAGCAGTAAAATCCTAGAAAACTAGAGGTATGGCTCAAGTAGTAGAAGGCCAGCTAACCAAAAATGCCAAGCAAGAGCTCCATATGGGGGATAGTTGGACACATGGACACACACACACACACACACACACACACACACATACACATACACGCAACTATACATAATCTGATAATCCATAAGTCATACTCCTTGGTTGAAAATTTATGTTTACACAAAAACCTGAATATGAATGTTTATTGCAACCTTATTCATGACTGCCAGAACTTAAAAGCAACAAAGATAGTTTTCAATAGGTGACTGAAAATCAAGCAGTTGTACATTCATACAATGGAACATTATTCAGTACTAAAAGAAATGAGTACCAGATATGCTATTGCATGTCTATAATCCCAGCACTTTGAAAATAAAGCAGGAGGATCACAAGTTCAAGGCCAGGTTGGGCTACATAGTGAGACACTGTCTGATAAAACAGGAAGAGAGAAAGAGAAAGATGAACTATCAACCTATGAAAAAACATGTATTTTATTAAGTGAATGAAGATAATCTAGAAAGGTCAAGTTCCATGTAATTTTAATTATATAGCATCCTGGAAAAAGCAAAATTACAAAGAGAATCAAAAAAATTAGTGGTTGCTAGAAAATTGGCGCTATGCCTCAAGTAGAATGCTCACCTTGAGCTGAAGAGTGCAGGGACAGCGCCCAAGCCCAGAATTCAAGCCCCGAGACCAACCAAAAAAAAAAAAAAAATTTAGTGGTTGTCAGGGGTTAGGAGGAAGGGAAGGATGAACAGATGGAGTACAGAGGAATTTTATTAAAGTGAAACTACTCTATATGATATTATAACAGTAGAGATATCTCTAGATAAAGATAAATATATAATACAGATATCTCAAAACCAATAGTGAACTCAAGTGTAACCTACAGACTTGGGATGATTATGAGATGAGGTATCAGTATAGATTTACATTTATCAGTTAAGAAATCAGTTCTTCCACTCATCAATGAGAAATCCCTGTACCTCCTGCTCAACTTTGCTCAAACTAAAACTGTTCTTAAAAAATAAAGCATTTCTTTTAATAAAAAAAAACTATCAAATTTTTACTTTTTGATGCTAAGAATTTAATCCAGGGCCTTCACCACACTAAGCATGTATTATATCACGAAGATTAGTTTCTTCCTCAGCTTTCCTCTCCCCACTATTTTTCCTTCCCTCCTCTCCTCTTTCTTTCTCTGTCTTCTTTTTTTGTGTTTTTATCTTTGTGTTGAGGCAGTGGCTCATTATGTAGGTCAAGATAGCCTGGACTCTCTCGATAGCCCAAGCTAGCTTTGAACTTATGGTTCTCCTGTCTCCCCTTCCAGAGTTCTAGGATTACAATAGGGTATCACCAAGCCTAACCCTTCCTCTCTCTTTTAATCAATCTTTGCTTATCATTATCTCGACAAAGGATTCCTCAGCTATAACTATTATGAAGGGTTTTAGAAAGTATGATTTCCACATTTTTGTCTGATAAAACTAGCAAATAAATGATATATTGAGCACTTACTGTGTTCCAAAATAACGAAAAATTATAAAACTTAGAAATGTAGAAAATTAGAACATAAACATAGATAAAGATAATCAAAAAGCCTGGCACTAGTGGCTCACGCCTGTAATCCTAACTACTCAGGAGGCTGATATCTGAAGATCCTGGTTCAAAGCAAGGCCAGGCAGGAAGTCCAGGAGATCTCCAATTTATCAGCAAATAACCAGCAGGGGAGTTGTAGCTAACTGTAAAGCAGCACCTACCAGCCTTGAGCAGAAAAAGCTAAAGGAGAGCTCAAAGCCCAGAGTTCAAGATAATCAACAATACATAGCAGTCCATAATAAGGAAAAGCTAGAATCACTATAAAGGATCGCTATACCCACAAACACACCAAAACAAAGTACAACAGTGTTGGGAATGTGGCTTAGTGGTAGAGTGTTTGCCTAACGTGCGTGAAGCCCTGAGTTCCATTCCTCAGGACCACATACATAGAAAAAGCTGGAAGTGGAGCTGTGGCTCAAGTAGTAGAGTGCTCTAGCCTTGAGCAAAATAAACTCAGAGACAGTGCCCATGCCCTGAGTTCAAGCACCAGGAGTGACCAAATAAAAGTACCACAAAACCTCTGAGAAGGAAGAAAATGATAATCAAAGCACAGGAAATAACTTGAAGTAACAGCTGGCAGAAGAAAGCATTAAGTAAAGCTTTATTTGATCCTGATGGCCTCTGAAGTTACTTCTGTAGTCTTCTCTTTCCTTTCATTAGCTTCTTAAATTGACACCCAGTATTTGAGGGTTAAGATTTGAACATGTTAACAAAGGAGGAGGCAACAAAACTCAATAGGAAATGTACTCATTACCTTGCTCGTGTAACTGTAACCCCTCTGTACAGCATCTTTACAATAAAAAACATTTTAAAAAGATTTGAACATGTTAATTTGGACTACAGCAGTAAGCTATAAAGTAGATAATACTCTGAGAATATTGTGAAATCTCTCACAACAACCACCCAAAACAGCTACGTACTTCACAGATTAAAGGATCTCTGGTTCATGTCATTTGTCTGAATTGGTAATTATTGCCAACATATCAATCACTGGAAACAACTAATTTCTATATGCTAAGGTAATTGAAATCACTGAATTTTTAAAATGTAAGCCAAGCTTCCTCTTTACCTGACATATAACTATCTTTATAATAACAATAAAATATTATAACAATAAAATATAATAACATATAAATATATGTTATATAAATATATAAAATATAATAACAATAAAAATTTTTAAGTAAGCTAAGTTATTATTACCTGCATACAAGCATCCTGACCCCTGATTGCAGCTATGTGAGCTGCTGTCCAACCTCTCGCAGTACTTTGTGTGACATCAGCTCCATGCCAGAGCAGCCAATGAAGACACTAAGGTAAGAAAATAACCATGTTAACAAGAGACAAATTGAATGTTGTATTTTTTTTAGCTTTTAAAGTTAGTCCACGATAATGAAATTTCCAATGAAAAACATCATAAATGACTGAATAAACCAGAAAAATAAAAGCAAGGACTGGAAGATTGGCTCAAGTGTAAAGAGCACTTGCCTAGTTAGCACAAGGCCCTCAGGTCAAACCTCAAAACTGGAAGAAAAAAAATAGGAAAACAGAAGCACAAGCACAGCCACATGATATGATTTGTCTGTCACAGAAATCAGAAAACAACAAAATATTTTAAAAGGCTCAGTCTCACTAATAATCATAGGAATTTACTTATTCAATAAGTATTCATGGGCATTGTTCAGATACTGGAGAATAAATCCACTTTAAACTTTCATATATTGATTTGACATTGCTCTTCATATGTAGAAACAAGGTTGCAAGGATATGAAAATAAGTATATGTGTGCTTTATTTAAAAAAATCCTGCCCAGCTGTTTTACAAATTGGCTATATTATCTTACATTCTCAGCAGCCAAAAATGAGAATTCCAGATTCCCCATATTCTTAGCAATATTTGGTATCATCTTTGGGGGGATGTTTTGTTTCATTTTTGACATTCTTGTGGCTTCAGAGTGGCATCTCATTATAATTTCAATTTGCATTTCACTAATGGATAATGATATTGAATATTCAACTGCCATCTATATGTTCTCTTAGAGAAAATGTCTATTTTACTTTTGTGTGTGTGTGCTGGTACTAAGACTTGAACTCAGGGCCTCCAGCTCTCATTTAGCTCTTTTACTCAAGGCTAGCACTCTAGCACTTAAGCTATAGCTCCACTTCTGGCTTTTTGCTGGCCAATTAGAAATAAGTGTTTCTCAGACTTGTCTGCCCTGGTGGCTCTGAACCACAATCCTCAGATCTCAGCCTCCTTAGCAGGTAGGATTACAAAAGTGAGGTACTGGCACTCAGATATTCACTGTTTTGCCCATTTATAGATTTGTTTGTTTTACTGTTGAGTTCTGAGAGTACTTTATTTAAGCTGGCTACAGTCCTTAGTATATGATTTGTAAATATTTTCTCCTAGGTTTTCTTCTATAAGCTTTACAAATTACAATTTTGCAAGTTTTATACTTATTTCTTGTCTGTTTTGAAAAATTTTAGATATGGTGCTTTGTGTGGGCCAAGGTTCATTTTTTGTTGTTGTTGGTCATGGGGCTTGAACTCTGGGCCTGGCGCTATTCCTCAGCTCTTTGGCTCAAGGCTGCTTAGCACTCTACCACTTGAGCTATAGCGCCACTTCCGGTCTTCTGGTGGTTTTATTGGAGATAAGAGTTTCACGGACTTTCCTGTCCGGGCTGGCTTTGAACTGGGATCCTCAGATCTCAGCCTCCTGATTAGCTAGGATTACAGGCCTGAGCCACCGACGCCCGGCTAAGGTTCATTTTTTTTTTACATATAAATATCTAATATTGGGCTGGGAAGGTGGCTCAGTGGTAGAGTGCTTGCTTTGCATGCAGGAAGCCCTGGATTTGATTCCTCAGCATCACATAAAGAGAAAAAAGCCAGAAGTGGTGCTGTGGCTCAAGTGGTAGAGTGCTAGCCTTAAGATGAAGAACTCAGGGACAGCGCCCAGGCCCAGAGTTCAAGGCCCATGACTAACAAAAAAAAATCTAATACTGCCAGAATCACTTAATAAAAATATTATCTGTTCCCCATTAAAATGAATTTGCATCTTCATCAAAAATCAATTTAACAACTGAGCACAAAAATGTGAATCTAAAGTCACAGTTAATCAGTAGGTTGAGATCTGAGGATCATGGTTCAAAGTCAGCAGATTTTCATCTCCAATTAACCAGAAAAAAAGAGGAACTGGAAGTGAGTCTCAAGTAGTAGAGATCTAGTAGTGAGTAGAAAAAGATTCATGAGAGCTTAAGGCCCTGAGTTTAACTCTTACTACTAGCACAAAAAAAGTTAATATAAAAGTTATTTTTTTTAAGTCTGAGCAGAGACATCAGTGGCCACACACTATGGGGGAAACGGACTCCCACAATTAGTCCAAGCAGGTTACAACAAACAGCCAGCAACAATCACCATTGGGCAGGGAAGAAGGATCTGACGCCAGCATATGGGGGGCAAAGGGGGGATCGGTCATGAGGCCTGAACTCTGGGCCTGGGCACTGTCCCTCAGCTCTTCAGCTCAAGGTGAGCACTCTACCACTTGAGCCACAGTGCCACTTCCGGTTTTCTGAGTGGTTTCTTGGAGATAAGTCTCACGGACTTTCCTGTTCGGGCTGGCTTTGAACCTGTGGCCCTCAGATCTCAGCCTCCTGAGTAGCTAGGATTACTGGTGTGAGCCACCAGCGCCCAGCTGATGTCAGCATTACTTTATTCTCTAAAATGCCCAGTTTTCAAAATGTCAAGTAAAACCTTAAAAATTCTGAGACAAAGAAAAATGACTAAGGTATTAGAGTTAGCAAGATTTCAAAGCAGCTATTATAAATATACTGAAGGGGCTGGGAAGGTGGCTCAGTGGTAGAGTGCTTGCCTTGCATGCATGAGGCTCTGGGTTCGATTCCTCGGCACCACATAAGAAAAAAGAAAAAAGCCGGAAGTGGCGCTGTGGCTCAAGTGGTAGAGCGCTAAGCCTTGAGCAAAAGAACTGAGAGACAGTGCCCAGGCCCAGAGTTCAGGCCCCACAACCAGACCAAAATAAATAAATATACTCAAGAACAAAAATTGTATTTAAGAATTAAAGGGAAGTATAAGACTCATCAAATAGAGAATGTAGATAAGCACAGAACAATTATTTTTTAAAGTTAGATGTAAGTTTGTTAGTTGAAAAGTATATCTGAAATAGAATGTTCTCTACAGCGGTTCAATAGATTTCATCTAACAAAAGAAAAAAAATGAAGGGTAATAAAGCATAGTTTTTCATCAGTTGTTAAATCAGTGATTGCTTCATACTATCAGTGTTCAAGGACCCCAAGGCTCATGAAGTATCAAAGGAATAACAAAATGTGAAGGTGCTCCAGTAAACATTTAGGAGGTCATCTTTTAGTATGCATGTAAAAAAAAAACTCTAAACTTTTTGGCTTATATTACTTTAGCTAAGATTCAACAAACTTTTTTGCTTGTTTTGCTTTTGTTTTGCTATGCTGGTACTGGAGCTCAAACTCAGGACCTTTCACTCTTGCCTGTTTTTTTCTCTCAAGGGTGGCACTCTATCCCTTGAGCTACACCTCTACTTCTTCAATAAACTTTTCTTAAACATCTCTATTACTATATGTTCAATATTAAACATACAAATATAAAATTAACTGAAAAAATTCAGCAGTGCAACAAACATTGACTGAAACCTATGATGTAACACCTAAATACTAGACACTATGCTAGGTGTTGTGAAATAAGAACTATGTAATAAACTTAAATGCTACCTTCAAAGAACTCAAATTCTGACAGAAAGCATGACTCAATGTGATAATTACAATTTGGAAAATGAAGATGATTTAGGGGTAGTACTCAGGAATAATTAAGTAGTTGGATGTTACTGAAGGAGGAAACAGAAGTCTTGACAAAGTAGATGCTACCTGATCCAGGCTTTAACCAGAAAACCTGGGGAAAGAGGAGACACCCAGGAAATGAAATAGCATATATATATATGCAGTATATGATAATATGAAACAGTGGACTAGTTTGGGAAATGACAGTTGTCATTTCAGCATAAAAAGTATGACAAGAGATAAAGTTGGATAATAGGTGGACAGAATCAAACAATTCAGGAGACAAAAATGAGGAAGAATCAACTGAGCTATTGACCAGTTCTGACTGTATCAATATGATACTGTCACATATGTTAATAATGTGAAATATCCAAAACAGGTAATAATGGAATACAGATCAAATAGAGATTTGGTGGGGGAGGGACACAGAGAATATACAGAAGGGATACAAGAACATAAAGAACCATTTCTCCCACATAATATGTATTACTGACAGGCAAAGTAAAAATTTCTTGTTTACTTCAATTGAGGCACACAAATAGAAGGAGATTCTCTGAGCCAGACTGGCTTATAGGAAGCAGAAGTCCAAATAAGGACAAAAACCACATCAAATAGTCATGCTCATAGAAAGCTGTGTGTCTGTGCATCTGTATCTGTATATGTGTATAATTGAGTGTGGGTGTGAAGAGGAAGACACATTTATGATTGCCTGTGGCATATGCACCCAAAAATGTAGCAGTTAAAATAAGCACCCCAACCACACTAAGTCTTGATATATGAGAAAATTTCCCATTGTCCTTATACACAGGCCAAGAATAGAAGATAACATGCATAAAAATATTTACTAAGCAGGGGCTGGGAAGGTGGCTCAGTGGTAGAGCACTTGCCTTGCATGCCTGAGGCCCTGGGTTCGATTTCTCAGCACCACATAAGCAAAAAGAAAAAAAAGCCGGAAGTGGCGCTGTGGTTCAAGTGGTAGAGCGCTAGCCTTGAGCTGAATAGCTGAGGGACAGGGCCCAAGCCCAGAGTTCAGGCTCCACGACCGGACCCCCCAAAAAAAAATTTACTAAGCATTGTTTGTATAAGCTAAAAAAATAAAACCATCATTAGAAAAAGGAATAATTAAACTATTTTCGGTCTAGGAATAGACTATTACAATGTTGTTGAAAGAAATTAACTAGATTACATATATTAATCTACATTATTAAAGTTCAAAATCATATCCTTGAACAAATAAAACAAGCTGAAAAGTATACATATAATTTATATAATTTATAAAATCATGCATAATAATAGCAAAAACATAGCTGGGACTAATAAACCCAGTCTACAAAATATTTAACTTTGGAGTTAGAATGAGGAGTGTTCATACCAGAGTTCTTAGGATACAATGTTATATTTTTTTCTAAATATCTGAAGCTATTATAGCAAAAAATGCTAGGACAGGTATTATGTTATCATCTTGTGATTGCTTTTAGAACCTAGGTACCATATTATGAAGAAGCTAGCCTGAGTGACCATAACTCACAAAATGGCACACAAAAGCCAGCCAACTACCAGGTACCTGTGTTAGCAAGGTTTGTGAAAATTCTAGCCCCAGCTCTTAAATCTTCCAGCTGACATTATGGAGCAGAGATAAGCTATTCCTGGGATCCAAGTTATTGGTTCACTAACGAGCATAAATAAGTGGCTATTTTATGACACTGAATTTGGGGATAATTTGTTATAAAGTCCGGAGAGAAACATAACATCCAAACATTAGGCTGAATTGAAAAAACTATTTACAGTACCTAGCATAAGATCCCAGCCCTATTCACTGCAAATATAAAACTGCTAGAGTTATAAAGTTATCTTAGTAGTTTTTTGTTTCACAAATAGCCCTTTTATTTGTCACGATTAAAATTGAACTTTAAACAGATTCTTGGACTGGTCGTTTTTATCCATCAGCTTGCTCAACTTTAGCACCAGTCTTGTAACCAGTAGCTTTTCCAGAACTACCACCTTCACCATGAGGCTCAATAAGTTTTTTCCAATTCAAACTTGATCTTCTTCAGCATTTTCAGTTTGCTAATGAAGACATCATGAAGACTGGCAAACCTTTTCTATGTCTTTCCCAATGCATCTGGAATCAAATGTTATTAGCTACTTCTTTCAAGTCATTTGTCTTCACTTCTTGGGTCATGATTTCCATCATCTCCTTCCAGATCCGGCAGACCTGCTGGTGCTGAGCATAGGAGGTCTTGCAGATCTGATTGTTGGGTTTTTAGTAAAACCAACACAAAAGAGACGAAGCAAATAACCATCTTTAGTCTTCACATCAACATGAGCTTCAATTATGGTCTGCTACTTTTTGACCATAGAACACATTTCGTCTCAGTTGAGATCCATGCCATGGAAGTTGGTGAGGCAGTTTCTTGCCCTGTACAGTAATTAGCTTGAATTTTCTAAATACAACTTCATCATTCTGCAGATCAGCAAGGCCCATCTCAAACACCCAACCCTTGAGGCCATCAGATGCCATTTTGGTTCCTTGGGTCCTTGTGACTAGTGTTTTACAAATATTCCTTATGTTGAACGTGGCCAGTGCTTTCACATCATACCAATCCTTCTTAGAAAACGGATCAACCATTTTCTTCTTGGCTCCCTTGGCCTTTTGTAAGATGCTTGTTCTTCCCTACCACTATGGTGCTGGTCAAAAAGCCAAAAGAAAGCTATCTTAGTATATATATAGAGAGAGCTTCTTACCTCCAAACTTCCAGAATGTGCTGCCCACTGTAAAGGGGTAAATTTATGAAGAAGATCAGCTTCATTAATGTTGGTTCCATGTTCTACAATTTCTGAAAGCTGCTTTACATCTCCAGCTCGTACTGCATCATGAATGCTACCAAAATGCACTTTCTTCTTGGAATCTATTGAAAAGTCAAATGCTTCAGAACCACATACACAAAAAAAGGACTAAACCAATCATTCAATAGAAACCACAAACTCCTATCAGCTTTCCAAATAACTGATTACAGAGATATTTGTGATGAACACCTTAACTCCACTTCCCATTTTAGTTCTGACATGAAAGCTGTCATTCTCATCCTTATAGGAAAAAAACTGAATACACAGACAGAAAATCAACAACTTTCCTTGGACCTGAGAACAGAGACCTCAAAGCTAAATTCCCTTTCAAATATGGAAAAGAAAACATGTACAGACAAATGTAGCTAAGTTCAGCTTACTTAAACCAGAAGCTACTGTAGTAATAAATTGGTACAAGTGCTTGAGTAGTTAGTCTAATGACTTGCTCAGGATAGGACTATCTTAAAAATGGGAAACACAGCCAGGCACCTGTGGCTCATGCTTGTAATCCTAGCTACTCAGGAGGCTGAGATCTGAGGATTGCAGTTCAAAGCCAGCATGGCCAGGAAAGGCCATGAGACTCTTATTTCTAGTAAACCAACAGAAAACTGGAAGTGGCACTGTGGCTCAAGTGGTAGAGTTCTAGCCTTGAGCTGAAAAGCTGAGGGACAGCACCCAGACCTAGAGTTCAAGCCTCATGCCTGCAATCCTAGCTACTCAAGAAGCTGAAATCTGATAATTGAGGTTTAAAACCAGCCCAGGCAGGAAAACCTATGAGGCACTTAACGCCAATTCTCTTATCACCAATTAACTACCAAAAGCCAGAAGTGGAGGTATGGGTCAAGTGATAGAGCACTAGCATTGACTAAAAATGCTAAGGGACAGAGCCTAGGCCCTGAGTTCAAGTCCAAGTACAAGCACACATACACACACACACACACACACACACACACACACACACACACACACGCAAAGAAACTCTTAGGGTCTTCACTCTTAGAGAGGCCCTATATTTTTACCTTCAGAAACCCCACAGAGTATCAGTGTAAAAACCCAAGAACAAATCACTTCATATCATGGCAGGGCAAATAGAGCATGACAACTTTGGACAAAGTATACTCAATCAATTCTTTTTAACAACAGCCAACTCACCAGTGAAAAAATCACCAAGCTTTATTTCACATATACAGACATATTTTATCAATATTTTTATTTTTATAAACATGGAGACATTATCTAGTTTACTGGACTGTGAAGTATTTTAATGTGCACTGTAAACCAGCAACAATAAAATTATCTAAGCATTAATAGTTACTGAAGAAGGAATATTTCAATCAAAACATTCTCTTAAAAAAAAGACAAAAAAGCAAGATTCCTAACCTCTACTTGTACTGAAAACAGCCAATATTCACGCAAATAAGCTATGTACACTTGTACTAGCATTTACTTGTATGGATTTCTTCTAATTTCTTTTTGAGATAGGATTCCCTTATGTTATTTAGATTAAGCTCAAACTGCTAGATTTCATTGATCTTCCCACCTCTGTCCCTCAAGCATCTGGGACTGCAGGCACATACTACCAAGCCCAGTAATCAAAGGCTAGAATCATATCTTACAATAAAAGCATACCATATACTAACCCTTAGCAAAAGATTTACATATACTCAAAATTTCTATCATGTACCAAGCACATGTATTATAAAAAAATACATGTGGATTTTATACATTTCCCCAGAATCTTTTTGGATAAATGTAATGAGGAAATAAAAGCTAACAGCAGTGAGGATTAGTAAAACTAAGAATGGGGGAGGGAAAGCAGGAAAAAAATGAGGAATAGGGTAAAAAGTTTGACAAAAAATGTACTTATTAACTTGTTTATATAACTGTAACCCCTCTATACCTCACCTAGACAACAAAAAATAATTAAGAACTACTAATCAGCTGGTGGCTCTCACTTGTAATCCTAGCTACTCAGGAGACTGAGATCTGAGGATTATGGTTCAAAGCCAGCCCAAGCAAGAAAATCCATGAGACTGTTATCTCCATTTACCTACCCCAAAACCAGAAGTGGAGGTGTGGCTCAAAGTGGCAGAGCACTAGCCTTGAGCAAAGAAGGGACAGCAGCACCCAGACCAAGCCCCAATACCAACACGCAAAAAAAAGGACAAATCAATGACATTATAGAGAAAAAGGAAACAAGAGCAAGACCTCGAAGAACAATAAGAATATATACAACTGGGAAAGGGAGCAAGAAAGACACAAACACTAGTAAATGTTCAATGATGCTAGTCCACTGGGTTAGATCTTTGTTCTTCACCTTTAAACTACTATAAATAGTATTTCCAATCTACTTTATACAGAAATATAATTCTTGGCCACTTCAAGTCTCTTCTCTAGTGGTGACTGGTGGCCACAGGTAGTCTATAGAACAAAATCCCAACGCTCAACATGACAGTTCATTTCCCCCATCATTTGACCCCCCACCTAATTTTAAACCCTTTTTTCTCATCATATTCCATCCCAATTCATTCTTTAACCCACCAATCCTTTCATTTAAGATTAATTTGATGATTAGTAAAAGTATAAAAAGATGAAGACATGATCTCTATCCTCAGGAACTCATAGATAAGAAACAAACACAAATTATAAAACAATATGACAACAGCAATGACAGAAATATCCATGAGAACTTATGGACACAGATAACTTCCAGCACAGGCAGGGAAGGAAGGAAGGAGCCTTTCTAAGATGAAACTTCAAGAATTAGCAAGAATTTGCCATTCTAGACAACATAAACATCAGGACACAGTTTGAAAAACAAGAAATTCTACAGTTGAAGCATAAAATGGAAGAGATTGGAATCCAACAAAAGACAAACTTTTGATTGTTTCAAATTTCTAAAAAAATCTTATGTGCAAAATGTAGAAAATTGAGGGACTTTAAACAGAAGAATTATAATACGCAGCTTTGTAATGCTAATATGAATGGCAGTAGGGGAAATTTATTGACTAGTGAGCAAATGAGGGATTCTGTAAGAAGACAGCTATTAGGATCTAGACCAGTAAAACTGAGACTTTGACTAAGATAGTGGCAATGGAACTGAAATGAAGAAAGATTGAACAAATATTGAAGAACATAATATGAACTAAATTTTAATAGTTATAGTGATTGAAAATAGGGAAGAGGCATGGTGTAACTCCAACGTGTATTAGCTTAGTCACTGGAGTGCTATGGTGATGTAAACTGAGGTAGCAAATACTAAAGGAAATGAAGACATATGAACAAAACTACATTTTATAATGTTGATCTTCAAGTACTCAAAGATTACCAGAACAGAAGTGTATAAATAAAAAGAGATGTACATTTTAGGTGCCAATGTTAGATTTGTCTTAGCTTTTTCTAAGCTGTGTGTAGTGGTACATTCCTATAATCCCAGCACTAGGGAGGCTGAGGCAGGAGGAGAGAAATTTGGTGGCCTGTATGTGCTACATAGTGAGTCACAATCAAAAGGAAGAAAGACAAGGGCTGGGAATGTGGCTTAGTGGTAGAGTGCTTGCCTAGCATGCACAAAGCCCTGGGTTCAATTCATTGGTACAGAAAAGGCCAGAAGTGGCACTGTGGCTCAAGTGGCACTAGCCTTGAGAACAAGAGGCTCAGGGACAGAACCCAGGCCCTTAGTTCAAGCCCCGGGGCTGGCAAAAATAAAAAAAAAGGAAGAACAGAGAGGAAGAAAGGAAAGAAACAGGGAAGGGAAGGGCAAGGGGGGAGAGGGGAAAGCTGAGTGCCTGTTGTTCATACCTATAGTCCTAGCTATTAAGGAGGATGAGATACAGAAGATCATGATTTGAAGCTATCCTGGGCAGAAAAGTTGTCAAGACTCTCTCTCAAAAATAGCCAGGGAATAATCAAGAAATCTAAAAACAACAGATGCTAGAGGGGATGTGGCCAAAGGGAACTCAACTGCACTGTTGGTGAGAGTGTAAACTTGTTCAACCACTGTGGAATTATGGAGGTTCCTCAAAAGACTACACATAGATCTCCCCTATGACCCAGCAATCCCACTTCTGGGCATTTACCCAAATGATCATAAACAAGGCCATGCTAAAGCTAACAGCATAACTATGTTTATTGCAGCATTATTCACCATAGCTAAGATATGGAACCAACCCTGATGCCCCTCAGTAGATGGATCAAAAAATGTGATATACATATATGAATTCTATGCTTCCATCAGAAAGAATGACACCGCCCCTTTTGTTAGGAAATGGAAAGACTTGGAAAAAATCTTATTAATTGAAGTAAGCCAGACCCAAAGAAACATAGGTCCCATGCTTTCCCTCATTTGCAATAATTAGTATACATCTAGGATAATTTTATCAGATGAGCAGAAAAGCTCAAAAGCTATGTACATATGAACATATAAGATGATGCTAAGTTGGATTCAAGAGATCTTTGTTGTTGTTTTTAATGTGACTTTTTTTGTTTCCTTTGTATTTTCTTCCCCTATCCCCTGTTGTCACTGTACTCGATTAAGGTACCCTGCATCTTGTATATACATCTGTCTGATTTGGGGAGGGGAAACAAGGACACAGGATGACCCTTTGCAACAATGATACCCACAAGACAGTATATTGGAAATGAACTTTACAACTTGGGGGAGGGGGGAGGAATGAATGAAGTAGGGGAGGGAAGGAATAGTGGGAGAGGGTAACAATGCCTGACAAGAAAAGTACTCATTGCCTTACTCATGTAACTATAACCCCTCTGTACAGCATCTTTACAATAAAATACAATTTAATATATAAATAAATAAAAATGAGAGAGGTAAAAAAAAAAACAAAAAACGGCCAACTAAAAAGCTAGGCTAGGCACGCTCGCACCAGTGCTTCCCACTTGTAATCTAGCTGCTCAGGAGGCTGAGATCTGAGGATTGTGGTTCGAGGCCAGCCTGGATAGGAAAGTCCCTAAGACTCTCATCTCTAATTAACCACCACTAAGCTGAAGTGGAGCTGTGGTTCAAGTAGTAGAGCGCTAGCCTTGAGAGGAAGGAAGAGAAGAAAAAAAAGGTCAGGGACACTGCACAGGCCCTGATTTCAAGCTCCGGAACCGACACCGACACCAACACCGACACACACACACACACACACACACACACACACACACACACGGGATTTATAAATCTGAACAGTTCATGTCAAACTGCTCTTGAAGACTGAAGGGAACAGTGCACATTAAAAAGCAAGGGGGAAAGCTGAAATGAGAGGGGATGCGGGAAGGGCGAATGGCTTTGGGAACTGATGAAAATAAGACGGCAGGGGAGCGACAGGGTGAGCGGGTGCTGGGGCTGCTGCGGGCTGAAGTGAAGGGAGCGAAGGGAGCGGGGG